AAGGGTTGATAAGCAGTAGAAAATGAATCCCTCAAAATGAGTAATTCTCTTAAAATTTTTGTATATCACACATATATATATATATATATATATATATATATATATATAATTATTGAGGCATTTTATAACAAATACTGCAATTGTAAAGTTAAATGTTAATTGAAGAAAAAAAGAAAATTGATCCAAAAAATAATTCAGTAAGCCCAATTTTTTTTTTTTATTCATTGAATTTTTTTTTTAACTAGATCCTATTGCTTATTGTTATTGTATAAGTAGATTATTTCCTTTTTTTTTTTTTTTTTTTTTTTAACTGAAAACATTTAATATGTTCATTAGATGAATTTATGGATTATATTTCTCTACTTTGCAAATTAATCATTCTGCTGTCTCCTCTTTAATCCCAAATACTCTGATTATCAACATTATTAGATAAACAAAGCACCTTATTTGTCATTCTCTCCTCTTGAATCTAGTGTAACAAAGTGGTAGGCAAGTGCTTTAAATTTTCATTTCAATGTCAGGATTCAACTAGCTCAATTCTTGAAGAAAAATGAATCCAGTGGCATTCTTCAGCTGGTAACCAAACAGGTTATTGCGATTAATAGAATGGAATTGGTTTCTTGATTTTAAAAGAAAGAATAAGTTACTTCATTTCATCAGATCTTTAAAAATATCTCCATGAGGATCCATGTCTCTATAGTTCATGGGTTAATCAGAAGTAAAAAAAAAAAAAAATTTAAAAAAAATGATTGTGTTTTACCAATATATGAAAAAGGAAAATTATCTGCATTATGCCCATGATTTTTTTTTTTTTTTTGCATCTAAAAATCCATTAGTTACCTTTTTTCTTTTTTTTCTTTTTTTTTTTTTAATTATTCATTCACACACCATGAGCTAGGCCTTAATTTCTAAATTGAAAGCTTAATTAACATCTAGCATGTCAAGTCTGTTTCTACTCTTGCTTTACACTATACAATGATTTTAATTTTCCATAAATTATTTTTCTTTTGTTTTTCTCAGTCTTATTTTAAGAATTTTTTTCTTTCATTCAAAAGAAAATATGTCAAATTATTTTTTGCATTTGTTAGAGCATTTGCTAATCACAAACATTAATTATTATCTAGAAACAGTGGTCATTAGTTTTGAAGTAGCTTGGTTTCACTTTAATTAATAGAAATATTGAGTGGGGAATATTTTTTAGTAACTTCACATGTTGAGGAATTGTTTTGTTAATAGATTTGGTGTAGAGGAATCTCTTATTATATTCCACATGGTAGAGTATTGTTGATTTTTTTTTTTTTTTTTTTAATCATTTCACCCCAAGCAAGGCAATAAAACCACTAAGATGCAAGGAGGTACTGAGTGCAAGAGAATATGAGAAGAAAATACTAGTAAGGAAAGAGAACAATAAAAGAACACAAATTAAAAAGATAACGATAAATGAACTTGGTAATTGTGAAATGTTATAAGTCCTTGTTACACATGTAATCAAAGTACTGGTGGAAACATGTTTATTTTTTAAATATAAAAAATGAATTTTTTTTTTTTTTTTTTTTTTTTAATTTGGTTAGAAGCATTTAGTAGAGATGTTTACATCATGGTCTTTGAGAACTAGTTAACCTTTCAATCCTAAAAGGAATAGGTTAAACTAAATATGATTAAGTGTACCATAGACAGTGATGAAATTTAAATGCACTTCAATCAACTCCTATCTAAAATATATGTATAATGTATGTGTTATTTAAAAAAAAATTTACATATATATATTATATATTAGCAGTTTTCCACCTCTTGCTATGGCTTCACAAAGTAAGATATATTCACTACTTGAAATCTTCGAAATAAAAAAAATTTAGATGAATATTTTAATAAATTGGTTGTAAACATAAAAGAAATCATCTGTATTTATTCAGATAGCTAAACATTAGAATTTTAGTCATTTTTAAACAAATGAAACATGATGAAACTGAATAACATTTAACAGGTGTTGGCAGAAATAAAATACATGTATTTGCATGAATAAAAAACCTAACGGTGAAAAAATAGAAATCAAAATGAAGTTTTTTTTTACTATAATGCAGCAGGATAAACTACATTTTTTTCTTTTTTATTTCGAGCAAGTATAAATAAATTCCTTCCATTTCCAACTCTTGGACAGGCAACATATAATTGACAATGAGAAAAGCATGGTTGCATAAAGATGAAGTCCACTAATTTTCATTGATTGACCTTGTGATTTATTAATAGTCATTACAAAACTTACTTTGACTGGGAATTGCAATTGTTTAAAATCAAAAGGCATATCTGTTGGAATCAATGGAATTCTTGGAATCTGTAGTCTCTCCTTTCCCTTGACCTGTTATAATAAGAGCTGCCAATAAGTGAGGTAACATAAGACCTATACCATTACATCACTTTGGAGGATCAAAATTTCTGAGCAGCATTAATGGTACTCCTTGTTTTAATACCAATTTGTGTGATGGCATTCCTGGAAGATCCAAAGAATTAAAAAATTTAATAGGGAATTTAACTGCTTCGTCTGGATCCACAGTTGTATCATTGGATAGTTATGTTTTTTCTTCTGTTGGGATATCTTGCAGAATCTTCTGATTGATGATCTGTACTCTTTCATTTTTGGGAGCCGAAATTGCTCTCACATAACTTCCAGAATACAGATTGGTTATCTGCTATATTGGGGTATACTTTAAAAATGAATTCCTCAATATTCTCAACCAGAGTGCCAAAACTTTCAGGAAAGCTGATTTGTCCATCTTGATCATGTGAAATTTCTCCATTTCCAAATTTTAAAAGATCACTAAATTCCTTTGCTATCTCATCTCCATTGTTCCACTCTCTCATATTAGTGGTCAAAAAGTGTCTTTCAATATGATCCCACAGATAAAATAAAATTTTTACAGATAGTTTGTTTCGTATGGAAAATATACTAAATTTATATGTGAAGTAAAAATAAATTTGTTTATAATTTTCATTTAAAAAGATCAAATTGTAAGTATCTTGTTAAAAAAAAAAAAAGAGAACATTAATTTGATATCATAAAATATTGCTGTTATTATTTAAAACCTTTTGATATTTTATTTTAGTTTCATTTGCTACTGAAAAACCTATAGGTATTTGAGAAAAAGAAAAAAGTAAATAAATGCATGTTCTCTTTTTACAACATAGATTTGTGAAGACTTTGGTGGACTTAGAATATTTTTAAACCAAAGTTGTTGTTTGAACTACAGCGCTTTCAAAGTATTTTTTTACAGATATGATAATAGAAAACATATGCCAAAAAACAACAAAAAAAGAAAAACGTTTTTGTTTGAAGTAAGTCCAGTGAAAATTAATCGCAAGAAGAAAAAAAAAATAGATATTAAAGATTTAACTGGTAATTGTGAATAGATTTCTAATTAAAATTAAAAGAGGACAATCATTTCATGGAAGATATTTTAAGCAGTGTATTCAAATCATTCATTAGATTATTTGTGTTAAGACTTTTTAAAAATAAATTAAAAAGGAAGCATTTTTATATTTTCTTTCAAGGGGGATACATTTGTGTATGAAATATTGTTTGCTTTTTTTACTTGTTCTACTTACTTAGAAAAGTCTATTTTGGTAGTATGTACTTTGTTGAATTTCCACAGTATAACTCTGTAAAAAAGCAGCTAATTATGGATACTAGATATATAAACTGATAAATGTTTACCTTAGAAAAATAACCTGGTAATTTAACTAGGAAAAATTAGTTGTTTTTCTATGGGATTACTGTTCACTATTTATGTTGGAGGCATTGTGAATGTTCAGTATATTTGGTCAGAGAATATGACTGTAAAGGCAGAAGAAATTAATTGGTTAGGTGTGGGGGCGCAGGCTTGTTGTAGTTAAGGAAAGTTTTACAAATAGATGCCAACTTGTTGAAGGCCAAGTAAAATGCAAATTTCAAACACTTTTTTGCACTAAAATAATATTCCTAAAGAGAACTATTTTTTGATATGAAAATCAAAACAATCCTCAAATAAAATAACAGTAATGAAGGAAAGTTAATTAATGAAATACACTTTTTTACAATCAATATGTAAATTAGTTAAACTTGAAAAGTGATATTGCCTAGATGTAGATAATATATAATACAGATATTGAGCTTTTATTGTGTAATACCTCAGAATCCATGGGAGAATTAAGTTCAATTTTGCATATATTGTGTGTATGTATATATATATATATATATATATATATATATATATATATATATATATACACACACACACACACAGAAGGTGGTTTTCAACTGTGAAGAATTCTTAAGTCTTGTTTTATTGTCCAATATTGTGTAGAAGCAGGTTCTTTCAACTTTCGGTGCGTATCAGTCACTTTTATATTTGCCTGATGTCCAATCGGTTGTTCTTGCAGGGAGACAGATAAATTTTGACCTTCAATCAACTGTAATGAACGTATGAAATGCTCTTTTTGTTTGCATAGGCTTGGCTGGTAGAATTTGATATACGAAGCTTTAAGGAGTCTAGTATACCTAATGAGCACTATATAGAATGAAAAAGAATGTGTCCTCATGCTCCACCATGCCTCCTCGCCCTGGATAGCAGCTCAGATTGTGGAATCAGAGAGCTGAGTTCAAATTCCAGTTGAATCCATTATATTCTTCTCCCCCCAGCTATGGGTAAAAAGCAGGACAGACCTTGGATGGCAACTGGTCTGTCACAAAAAGAAATGGCAACCTACTGCAGGAAAAAAAATCTGCCTCGTCAGTCATGTATCAAAAGATACATGATCACCTAAGCATGTGTCACACATGGCACATAACTGACTGACCCTATAATCAAATGGTTGAACAGATTTCACTTAATCCAATTGTGTATAACACTTATGTTCAAATGCACATGCTTTCTAGGAATCACTTGTATCCGGTGACAACAGTTTGTCACTTTAGATTTTTTAAATTTTATCTTAAGTACTAAGTGAAGGAGAAACCTAATATGGCTATGATGGATGTGAAAAGTAAGATTCAATGCTAAAAAAATCAATTTGAAAAAAAAAAAAAATGAGCCATTTAAAACCTTTCTAAAAACAAAAAAATAATAATGACAAAGATGAAAATGAAAAAAAAAATTGAATTGCTTTCTACATGAATATGAATTCCTTCCCTTAAATTGATTTTTCTCTAAAAAAAGTTAATTTAGTTTTACATTGTAAGAATTTTTTTTTAATATGTGAGTAAAAATGTGCTGATAATAGAAAATTTTGTATTATTTGCACATGTTGTTATTCACATGTTAAGAAAATATTCTTATTTCAGTTTTATTTGTTTTTATTTTTTTTGTATTAACTATCTTAACTATTCTCAAATTATCAAAAAAATATATATGTACAAATGAAAAAAAAATTTTAATTCCTCACTATTCCAAAAATAACATTTCTTTTCGTTCTATTTTCAGCTCCTGATGAAACTAGTTCTATACAAAGACAGTATACAAAGATTCTAGATGGATATGGTTCCTTAGGTGTACTTCAATTCAAATCAGGTATTTGTTTACATTTCTTACATTGACTATAAATATACAATGTCAAAATAACTGATAGTTAAAGATAACATTGCACGGAAGAGAAACTAGATCAGATTATCTGATTTGACTTTTTACTTTATTGCTGGTATTTATTCATGTGCTCAGACTATAGGTCTGACTTCTTTGATTCAAGTTTCTATCTACCTTTCGACTTGGCATCTATGCTGATGACACAGCTATTTATTCCTGTCTTGATAGTAAATCTGAATAGTTTGATCAGGTCAAATTGGAAGCTGATCTCAAATGACCTACGATCTGTTAACTGGGGCAAGGAATGACTTGTTAATTTTAACACCTCCAAAATGAAACTTCTCCCTATTAATTATCTGAAAGACTCCCCCCCTTTCTACCTCCCATCAGCATGGCTGATGCTAACCTCCGGGAGAGTGACTCATTGTGCTTTATCAAGCTAGCATTTTTGGCTGACATGAAGTGGAAAGATTATATTGAATCCACTGCTGTTTCTGCTGATAACAAAGTTGGTTCAGTGTGTCATGCTAGACAACTTTCCCTCCACAATCTGTCTTACATATTTATGTCTACCATCTGTCCTTACTTTGAATAGTGTTGTCACATATAGTCTGGTGCTCATGCTACATATTTAGGGATTCTTGATAAAATCCAAATGAATCAGCAATATTATTGGTCCTGACTTGGCATCTTGGCTTCAGTCACTTTCCTGCCACCATAATTTGGCTTCCCTGTGCCTTTTCTATAAATACTTTCATGATAATTATGTGAATGAACTCTTCGCTATAGTACCTAGACTTTATGAATTTAAGTGCTGTACTAGAACTAGATTAACAAGGTCTGATCAATTTCTAGTTGAAATGATTAGATGCAACTGTAAGTTCTATGCTAACAGCTTTTGTTGAACTTCTCACTTTCTGCTCCTTACTTTCCAGCCAACTTTTAATTCCAAAAATTTAAATGCAATGTCAATTGCTATCTACTGTCTTCTTGATTACTATTTTCCTTATTCATTCACACTCAGTAATCCCTTGTCTTAGTAGCTTTACTACCTAGCATGGGGTGAAATGATTATATATATATATATATATATATATATATATATATATATAACCACATTAGACATATCAATTTGTTCACTAGCTCAGTCACTAAGACTACTTTCAAAATCTACCACAACTCTAACTGTAGAAGTCTTAACATAATTTACTTATTAGCATGCACACTATGCCAGAAACAATATGTGGGAAAATCTGAATGGCTCTTTCACTACAAAATTAATAATTATCAGAATCAGATCAAGTTGGATAACCACAAAAGATTATTACCTGTAGAACAACATTTCTGCCTAGAAAAACATGTTTTCAATAGCCATGCAAAATTCACTCTTATTGAATAAATACAAATAAACACAAAAGATAACCTTATAAAAATACTAGAGGAACCTGAAGACAAGTAGATTTTACGCCTCAAAACACTTTGTCCAGATGGACTTAACCACAAATGAAACAACACAGAGATAGAATTAATATATAATCCCACAGACTAACATGCATGCAGAGGTGTTGAGGCTTCCCATATACACACACTCACACAAATATATACACATGCACACACTCCCAAATACTTAAAAGATAACATACACTTACACACACACACACACACACACACACATCCCCTTCCCAGCAGCCAATAAAGCTGTCAAAATGACTCAGTAGGGAATTCTGAGACTCATGAATCTCCCACCCTCAAATTTGAAAAAAAAACCCAAAAAACTTGAACTTAACCAATACAAAGACTGGCCAAGATTAACTATAAAAAACACATGAAAACTACAAAGTTCACTTTCTTCAAAGACAGTCATTCACTCCTGTAGTTCACTGCTATTAACAAGCAGGGATTTTTTTCTCCTGATGATGGCCATGCTGGCTGAAACTAGTCAAGGAACTTAATTGAAATAATAAAACAAAAAATATTAATATACAACACAGTGTGTCTGAAATTTTAATTTTTTATTGATCGGGCAGTATGTTGCTGATTTCTGAATGTCCACAGCAGAGATACGAGTTGTGAAGATCAAGGTGGTAGAGGGCATCCATCTGCAATTATCAATCAGAATATGAAAACACTAGTCAAACCCTCAATCAAAGTGTCAGAAATGTCTTATATAATTGGTGTCAGCATTTCCGCAATATCGGACCATCTTGAGAAAATTGTCAAGGGGAAGAAACTCAATAAATGGATTTCACATGAACTCTGTGAAAGTCAAAGAGATTGACATTTTGAAGTGTTTCATGCTGTTTCTGCAAAATTGAAATGATCCATTGCTTGATTGAATAGTGATTTGGTATGAGAAATGGATCCTTTTTGACAATCAGTTCAATGATTGTCAAAATTGGGTCAACAGAAGATTATGGTGATCTGCCACTATTGACACTATTCATTACAGCTTTAAACAGAGCATCACTGCTGAAGTTTACTGTCAGTAACTGGATGAAATGCACATTCAGTTAAGCAAACAGGTCCAATTCTGCTTCATGACAATGCTTGGCCACATGTTGCCAGGATAACACTGCAGAAACTCACTAATTTTGGGATATGAGACTTTGTCACATCCACCATATTCCCCTGATCTCTCACCTACTGACTACCAATTTTTCAAGCATTTTAACAATTCTTTTAGCCAAATGATATTCTGTTGCAAAGATGCAGAGACTGCATTCAAATATTTATTGACATCCAAACCTTTAGATTTTTATCATAAAGGCATAAATAACCGTGTAACTTATTGGCAGAAATGTATGTTCAGGATTTCTATTTTGGCTGATTTAAACACTGTTTAAATACATTCATTCGGGGATAAAAGTTAATTCTAAAACTGGACATTATTTTCTGTACAGCCTAATAATAGTTTATGCAGCACAGTAACAAAGAATAGAGAAAGAAATAGATGTGTTTTACAAAACAATAGATCATGCTAAAATCCAATGCAAATCCTAAAAAAGAAAATCATCATAATCATGGTAGATCTAAATGTGAAAGTAGCAAAGGAACAAGATAGTGAAATTAACCAATTCCTGGTATCAGGAACAGTGGAGACACTTGTGGATATAGAAAAACTCAAGAGGAAATATTAAGAACAAGATAGACTACCTAACAGTAAAAAAAAAATTAGAAATATAGTTCTACACTGTATAACATACCCAAGCACAGACTGTGGGAGTGCTCACTTTCTAGTTATATGCACAATAAAGATAAAATTTTGAAATTAAAGAAATCTAAAACAATGTTTAAAATACAATACTCAAAAATTATTCAATTTGTAGACAAACGTATGTTCATCTAGTTAAGTACAAATATAAAAGTAAAAGAAGTCAGTAAGTCAAACTGGAGTACTTTAAGTAAAGTACTAGTGATATTGGCAAAAGAAGTCTTTCCAAGGGGAGAGAAAATGACAAGAAGTGGATGACAGATGAAATTTATCAAACTAATGTAGAAAAAAAAGAACAGATAAAATCAAGCAGTAGCAGAGAATATAGGCTGTTAAGCAGCTGCATTAGAGATAGATGCAAACCAGCAAAAGATGAATTGCTCAATAATAGAAACATAATGAAACAGGCATAAGAAGCCATGCATAACATAACAGAAATAGCAATACAGAATGCATGCTCTTAAACAGTACAGTCTTAAAAGGGAATGATCATAATTGATAAAAAAAAATGGAACAAATACTTCCATGATAATATAGTAGTGAAATATACAATATATATATATAAAACCATGAAAAAGATTTACAGTATTAAAATCTGAGTTGAGATTAACATTGGCCAAAATGAACAAAATCAGAATAGCAGGATTAGGTGAGATTGTGAGAGGAACTATCAGCCTTAAATGACTTTGGAATTGACATAGTAAATGAAATATGATAGCAGTGAAATACCAGAAGATCTTGGTAGATCTATCTTCATAGCAATGCCAAAGAAACTAGGTGCAAATGAATATAAAGCCCATCAGACAGGCAATGAATCACATAGCTATCCTTATTGTTATGATTCTAATCTATAGAGTCTGATTTTAAACTAGAATTAGGGGAAAAACTGTGAGGTTTTGTTTAAGACACTAGAACAAGTTGGGCTATCTTTATGATCTGAATATTATCTGAGCATGCAGTACAAATAAGAATGACCTATACCTATGTTTCCTAGTTTACTCAAAGGCATTTGATACAGTATGACACAAAGACTTACTTGAAATGCTAGAAAACCTTAATTTACATGGGATAGATGTTTGAGTAATCTCTAATGGGAGCAAACAATCTGAATACAAATAGAGAAGTTACTCAGTGAATACACAAGATAGAAAGCGGAGTACTACAAGGGTGGGATTTTCACTGAGTTTATTTAATCTATACAGCAAGACAATCCTAAGAGAACTTGTAGACCTGCCAGGATTTATTATTGACAGATATAACCTTAGTATAAGATCTGTAAATGACACGATGTTGATGGCAGATTCAGAAAAGAAACTGAAAGAGTTGATTAGGAATTGAATACAAGTACGGCTATTAATATAATACAACAGGGTGGAAAATTTAATTAAATAATCAAGCAATCAGTGAATCAGTTACCTATTTCTAAAGATCGCAAAAGGCCAAATTGGAAATTAAAGACTAAAGTTTTTTTGAAAGGTGCATAAGCAAATTTGTTATTTGGCATTCTTGCTTTATGCAGTTATAAATGATAAAACCACATTTATTTAATATCACAGATTTCATTTTCAGGATTTTAAGCAAAGACACACACGCCCTTTGAGTTTCTATATTAGATTAAGTTGTGGCAAATAGTTAAATAAGAGTATATGCAAGAATTAATCAACTTGTAGATGTTTCAGTTCTTACTGTAAAGTATTTTCATATATTACTGAAACAGTGTCAGATGTTTTATTTTTATAATTATTTTTCTACTGTGCATATTTTCCTAGTAATAATG